GGGAGGTGCCAGTCTCATCCTCTTGTTCCTCCCACGCGGTTCTCGCGAGCTAAGAAAATGTTTATCTCCCTGAGCCTGGCCTTCATAATTCCATTCCATCACAAATTTTTATCCATTAAAGGTATGTCGATGTGTAACATTACCTCCCGTGCAGGCGTACCAAACCCTTAACTCTGGTTAAGAAAACGCAGTGGTGTTCACATACATGTTCACCTTTATTGCCAGTGAACCCAACAGGTATCTGCCTCCCCTATGACATGCTTAACTAAATGCGAAGTACCTAAGCACCAGAGGGCCTTTACTCTGGCATGATGCCGTGCCCTCCCCTCAGCTGTCCTTGAAGATCCCTTATCAAGCGAGAAGGCTCTGGTGACTCTGGACCCACAGAAACACCACAGCAGGGGCCTGTATCACACACGTGCCCGTGGCTATAAGATTATGTAATACTTGTACGTGGCTATAAGCATTGCACATTCGTACTAGCCTCATCTCACCACTATTGCATGAACACCCAGGGCGCCCAGGACAATTCCACCCCTCCCGGCTGCTCTCAGATCCCACCCCTGCCACGACATATAATGTTGCCAGGTTCTGTGCAGCAGTGATTAAAATTTGTCGGGTGCCATAAATTAATCTTAATGAGCATCTAGTTTGTCTTCCTAGAGTTCTCTGATAGATACAGTCTGCCACATACTCACCCTTATGCCCCTCTACGCTCATCTCATGCTCCTACCCCTCCTTGTAGATTCCTTTTAGATATACACTTTCTGTGTTACGTCTTTTAGCTTTTTTTAAATTATTATTATTTAGACTCTGATGCGTTTTCTATGCTTTTTGATTGACTGCACCCCACCCTCCTCATGCTGGGCTTTGATTTCATTTGATCTGGTGTTTGCATAACGTGCTGGGTTCACGGAGCTTGCTAAGGCAAGGGCTGGGTTCCCGCATGATCCTGAATCCCGGATGACCCAACCCAGTTGAGCCTAGTTTAATGGCTGTGTGAACCCAGTACTGGGTTTTGGGCATCTGAACCCCATCTGGTTTTTCCCCTGCCTGCAGGAACAGAGGCTCCAAAGAGGCCGGACTCTCAGATACTTT